AGAAGTATTCATGATCTAATGGAAATTCTTCCAATTCAAAATGTGAAAGAGAGGACTCACGTTGTTTCAATGATGACCAAGCTGCCAGGGCAGCATTCTTCTCAGCTTGTTTTTTGTTCTTAGCGGGTTCTCCCGTAAACATTATTCCAGCCAGTTCCACTGTTCCTGTAAAGACCGGTAGGTGCCCCAGACCTGACCTGAAAGTTGTATACTGGGGCAAAGGCGATCCAACTCTTTGTGAAATCTCCTGTAGGAGGTTTTTGTAGACACCCGTCTCATCCTAACATGCGTTAAACGATTGAGACCAAAACAAAATTTCAATTACTCATTTAAATAATCATGCCACTATCAAAAGATGCTAACTAAAGTGAAATATTTTGGAGAGGACAAGGCTTGCATATTCCAGCATGCATAACAGCAAGAAACTCCATACTAATTTCTTCAACATACCCATCTGGTACTCATACATAGTATCTGAGTATCTATGCTTTTTGAGAATCTTTAATTATTTGCTTGGACTATTGACACCCAAATACTGTCAATGGTAACTACCTGCATAGACTATGATCATCCGTGTGCCATCAATGTCAAATGGTAGAATCTTATATGCACAAGCAAGCTACATCTAAGAACCAGAAGCATCATAACAGATACTACAAGTTTGTACTGTATAAGATCAATAATATTATGTTCAGAATCAGACATGTGGTACGGTACACAACTCAACTTTCTTACTTACACGGAAAATAAGACTTGGTTGCTTGGTCATTTAAAAGCAAACCAAATTTTCAAACACCAGATAGTAAAATGACAGATATGCACACTGTATATTGCTAACTTAAGGAAAACAGAGACGATCTCAATGATCGTATCTACAAAAAGCTGAACATATTCTACACAGATGGATAACCTCCTAGATCCTTAAGAAAGAGAAGGGTCGCGGTTCAAGACCTACCATTTACATTTAAAAAAAAAAAACACTAGAGCCTTCCATTAGCAGCTCTTTTTGATCCATTTAAGAGGAAAGAACCTCCTCTAGCTCTCATATAGATTAGTCAGCAAAGAAAGAATGGGAAACTTGGAAGGTTCTACGTGCTCGATTAGTTCTGAATCATATAATCCTGCCAGCCATGAAACCTTTCCACTCCACTGCCTACACTGAGAATTCCATGACCTCAAAAGCTCAAGCCAGAGTCACATATCTGGAATTAAAATCAGCAGTAACTGAGACATCGATTTCTTTTATGTTGATTATTGAACATGTATCAGTTCTGAATCATATAATCCTGCAGCCATGAAACCTTTCCACTGCCTACACTGAGAATTCCAGACCTCAAAAGCTCAAGCCAGAGTCACAGATCTGGAATTAAAATCAGCAGTAACTGAGACATCGATTTCTTTTATGTTGATTATTGAACATGTATCCCGCCACGAGAAATTACGTGGGGAAAAGATACTCTCATAAACTTCAAATGAATACATTTTGCAGGTCATAAAGGGCCAACCATCCATGCTAGTGTTAAATAGTCATGTGCAGACTATAGCGTTGTATGTATCTATCATAAGTACATTAAATTGAGGGAGACAAGACCATAAATTTGCTCTAGACCTCCCACATGTGCCACCATGACTATTCTCCCAGCATAGAGTAATACAAAAATTCATCATTTAATGCTTGACCTGTAGTCTTTTTTTTTTCCCCATATAAATAGTGGTGTATTTTCTTGACTTCATTTTATCATCCTTTTTCTGCACAGAAGTTTCTATTTGGTCTCGGAGAGTAATTTGCATGCACTAACCGGAAAAAACGACCTATGCAAAAATAAAAAATCAACCACTAATTTCCAGTCATCACCAAAAACTGCAAGTTTACTTGGCATGAAATTAATTGCAAACCAGAGAATTCTCTACCACGTGACCAGCCTGAAAGTTGGCTAATCTGAATTGAATACCATAGTTATTATAGTTAGGTAAAAGTGTCCCCCCAAGATTTCAATGTATTCATACTCACATCAACGTCTTCAATTTTGCGCTTTAAATAAATAAAAGAACAAAAACCCAAAAGTCAGCAAATTCAATTGTCAATCTTCGTCACATTTACTATTTTATATCTTCGTTAATTAGTGAATCCGCCCAAAATTCAAGCAAAACCCACTTCTTAAAATGTCATGAATTGCTTAGAAAAAAAAAAAAAAAAGTGTCTCCACTTACTACTTTGAACGGTCTCACCAACTATTCCACAGCTAAAACCGTGTGTCATGGAAGAGAAGCCAATTTGGTAGCTTCTCCTTTCACACTCCTACCAGGGCAGGGAGGAAAAAAGGGTCTGAATTATCTAAACAATTACCGCTTGACCAGAATACCCCTTGCTCCAAGATTGGATTACATTTGCAATATAGAAAACAGCTGTTTACCAACATGTAAAGGCAAGATGGGGGCAGTACTACTTAATTAATTGTATTATAGGAAAAAAAAGGGGTCACTCCCATAATCCCCTCAAAAGCTTCACTCTCTTTGTCCCAGAATATGACCAAACACCCGCCCAAATTAAACTTTGCAAAGAAAATCCCACTAATCCGAGAAGCCCAAGAGAGGGCATTTTCGTCATTTCATCATCCGCACGCACTAAACTAAAACAACCGGAGCAAGTACATCTGGGTAAATAAAATTGCCAGTGAAACCGAGAGAGAGAGGGGGGGGAACGAAATTTCAAGAGTAAGAATGGGTATGCGTTTTTGTCATCTCCTTGTCCCCAAACATGAAGCTAAGCAGCCGGTAGAACTACAAGAAGAAAAAGGAAAACTTGCAACGCAATTATTATTTTTTTGGTTTTGGGAAAAGAAAGTTTCTAAAATTAGTCAACTGCAAGGACCCAAAAAAAGGGGGAAAAAAAAACAAAGAACTTACAATGATTCTAGCAGCGAGGGAATGAGAAGGAGCACGAGTGGCGAGAGAATTGAGGGCGACCTCAGCAGCGGCGTGCTCGGCTTGACGGAGAGTAGAGTGGTAATGGGGACTTTCGAACGTCTCGCCGTTAAAGTTAACGGAAGCCTTGAACCTGGGAGCGTGGTCTGGACCTTCCCTAATGCAAGTGTAGGAAGGCAAGTTAAAGCAGCTTCTCTGCGCCAGCTCTTGCAGCTGGTTCTTATACATAGCTCCCTAATAAGTACAAATTTCTCTCTGTATCTGTGCTTCGGCTGGGCGGCGGATCAGAGAGTTTGAAATGGGTTATGGGGTCGTTAATGGAGTTGACGAAGAATGGGAGGAGGTGTGCATGCAGGAAGGAAAGGAAATGGTCGATGGGTTATGATGGGTTCTGGGAAGGAGAGAAAGGAAGGTGGGGCTGGGGGAGGAGAGGGGTGGAATGGATTGTAGTCAGTCAGCAGTGATTTTTAATGGGGAGAATTAAATGCTTGATGTGGGGTTTCTTTCTTTGCGATGAGTGGGGAACTCTGGGAGTCAACCGAACGTTGGGCTTGCATGTAGGGGTGGGATGTTGTGATTTTATTTCATTTATATGCATATATACTTTTTTTTTTTTTTTTTAAAAAAAACCACCTTCAGTTTGTCAATCCTTTATTGTATATTTTGCCTGTCATTCTTGGATTTTATGAATTAAATACTCCATATGTTGTTTGTGGACCAATCTAACTTGACCATAAAAATACGAGTTAATATTTTATATACATTAATCATATATATAATGACGGTGTTACGTACATTAACGGATATGAATACATGCAACTTAATTTTAATATGAAATTAAACTCCAAATCTTGTACATTTGACTTGTGTTCTTGCTCACTAACTCGTGTAATTATATATTCACTTAAAATCTTAATTTAGTTGTATAGCTTGCAAAATGTTACATTATTATTGGTCCTATTCCTAAACAGCGCATGTAGTGAAAGGTCGATTGGTGCAAGTGAAAACATGTAATTATGCTACATGGTGGGTTATTCTCTGTATTCATATCTTTATGAATAGCCCACATGAGCATGTGCCCATCTTTGTCAGCAATTAACAAAAATCGTTGTTGTAACGTAGAAAGTTGAAGCACCACCAACTAATTGGACTCATTTTTATTGTCCAGGAATTAAATTAGGACTCTATCTTAATCTTTAGGGATCAACCGCTATTCACGTAAAAAAATAATAATAATAATCTGATTATCGTTCCAATGTTCTTATCAACGAATTGAACTAAAAGGCAGGAAGACAGAGAGACGAATGGCAGGCACAGCTTTAGTAGGACTTGTTGAAAGTCCTCGGTGGGGCAGGGTGAGTGGATAAATACACACAATTACTGCCGTAAGTTTTACGATGTGGATAAAGCTATGATGACCATTCTTCAACAGTCAAGGTAGGATATTAATATCATTACTGTTACTCTGGTTGAAGTTAGGCCAAATCATAAATGAACCATATATTATATTGTGTGTCATTTACACATTAATTTCCCAAGCCGGAGCTTGGTGCCATTATTGGACATGAAATAATGACTTAAAGGAAGCAAATAATATGACATGATCAAATAATGACTTTCCTCACTTAAAAGGAAGCAATAATACCTCACCGTTAGTTTAACATTTTCATATCATGTTTTGGGATTAATTTTAATGCATAACAGTTAATCTGAGTTCAAAATTAAAACCAAAATTGTTCATATGTCTCATGTCTCTGGTAGCATATACATTATTAGCATATACTATAAAGTTAATTTTTTTTTTTTTGGTTTAACTATTATATCACTTCCCCCCCCCCCCCGGGGGCGCCTCAGACAAATTAGAAATTGAGACCGTGAGCATTTATGTTTTCGACCGATGTACTTTGGATAGTTACCGATTACGATCCACTCCAGTGCTCAGAAGAGGAAAATAATGGCGTGTCAATATCTAACTCGGCTTAATGTATCGATTCCCATCCATAAACTTGAATCGAATCCCCCAAAGAAACATATATAATATATATATATATATATATATATATTGCCGGAACGGCTGCACAAATCATTCTCTCGACCACTTTCACAGAATCAAAGGTCTTGAATAACACACACACACACACACTAGCTACCCTTTTGACTCCAATAGCTAAAGGAGTCCCATCATTCCTAAAAGAGCCGTGGAATATTCAACGTGGAGAGAAGTCCAAAGTACAAAAGCATCGCTATTAACCGCGTTTTTTACCAATGCCCGACTCCTCAAACCATAATTCTGGAGGACCATTTTCGTTATTAGTGGGGAACAACTTCATTCCAGTCTCCGAAGAAGGTTAAGTTGACCCCCCAAAAAGCAGACTATAAAGTGCTCCTAAACGATCTCTGAGAGGGATCTTTTCATTCTTTCTCGACAAATTGAAAGGCAACTCAATGTCAATCATGCGAACCGAATGTCGACTGTCTCAAGAAATCAGCTAAGAAGTGAGATGCGTGCTCTTGAAACCGAAAAGCTTGTCTTGTGAAACCGCATATAGCCGCCCTGCGAAGACAGAACACCAAACAGAGCTTGCCACAGGCATATTCCGCAATGTTGATTAGTAGATTAAGAAGAATATACTATTTCATACCTTGATATACTGAATAAAGGGCTACAAAAGGATCATAATCTGAATACAAAAATGACTCTGCTATAGAATTGGCATATAATGCCGTGAAAAATATAAATATGGAAGCCCTATAATACAGAGCCCATCAAAAAATCAGGCTAGATTTTATTAGGACGAGGCAGTAATGAACTCGAGTGCGCTGCCTGTATACCTATATAAATAAAGAAATATCACCACGAAAAAGGGCTTGCTCCCAACAGGAAAATTTCATTCTCCACGTCTTTCACCCATTGACAAACCCGGTTGCAAGCTTTTATAGCCAAAGCCTGTGAATTATAGTGCATAATAACTTAATAGAAGGAACGACCAACCATAGACGAGATTAAAGGGAAAAAAAACGGTAGCGTGCCAAACAATGAAAGACACTAACTACAATTCTTGCATATCAAACAAGGTTAAGTTATCATTGTATACGCTTTTAATAAATCTATTCAGCAGCTTTTAATCAATTTATTCACTAACAAATGGTGATTTGTCTATTCCGTTATGTGCAGGCATATAATGGTCTTACTCAAAATAATCCTATGCATAACACTCTGATGAACTGCTGACTTCAGACAACTCAGGCTAAGATTTAAGACAAGTTGAACTCAGTCATAATAGAAAGAATCTTCATCATCTAACCTTGTCTGCAAGGGGATCAAATGCCGCATATAGCTCAAAATCTTGAGTGACCCAGCAAAGCAGTGCTGCCACGTTAAAAAGGACCCATTCCAAAGTGAAACTCTTAAATGAAAAGATCAAAAAATAATCTTAAAGAGCACATCAATAAAGTGCATCATTTGACAGAAAACCAAACTAACTGAACAAATGTAAACAATCAGCAGACATGACAAATCATCAAAATCAAACATATGGAGCCTATTCCAGCTAAAACAGAACAGGAAGAAAGAGAAACTCATACTGACAATATCGAAACTCTATTGTGCAGTATAGAGAAGCATTAATACAGACAGAGATTACCAGAACCCAATATGAAGTCATCTAATTAATGACAAACAATATACATGCATATTCTCGAAAAGTAATTTGAAGAGATATATGTTAGGGGCAATCATAATGCAGAAAGCTACACCACTACAGAGTTTGAAACTAGGTAATATATGGTGAAAATGCTTACATATCTGAATAATGACTTTCACTAGCTTTCCATAAAAAATCAGTGGCTTAACAAAACCTGGGCCAACTTAAGAAATGCTCATGTATTATTTTATAAAATTACAAAGTGAGAAGTATTTAACAGTCTATTTGTGCCTAACAATGCTTCCTACTGCCATCAGTGTACTCATCAGAAGTAGATTCTTCAAATTGTCCAGTACAAAGACAGGCAAAAGATGCCACTTTCTCAGTTTTGCTTTTCAAGAGTGAGATTCCTAATTTCAGATGCTAACTAGTTCCAACATTAGACCACTTTTAATTTCTTTATTCAAGTAACTGAAAAAGTTTCCACCATCAACTCTTGGGTCAATCTCTAAAAAGAGATCTCACAACATTGGATACCAAAAGAAGAATAACACAGCCAATTATCCATGAAGAATGCCAACCAAATGGAGCTTCTTCTCACCATAGTTTTCATCCCTTCTGAACTGGGTTTTATGTGGTCCAACATCTTTTTCATGCATGGATGCATAAAGCTTCTGATAAGCTCTATATAACCTACAAAAGAAAACTCACATGTTCACACCAAAAAAAACTTTCCGATGAACAAGATTTGTCACTACAATCTCCAGCTAAATAGTAAAATTACCTTTTCTGCTGTCGCAAGCTATTGATTGGCAATGCAAATTCAGATGATACATACTGGTTAAGATAAATACTGCGGTACATGAAATGCCATAGCCCAGCAGGACCACCAACACCAATAAACTCTGTCAACCTCTCTGTGGAATCAGTTGCAAGCCTAGATTGACTTAAGTGAGGGATGCAATTCCAGGATGAGAAGCAGGGTTCGTAGACAAATCCTCAACATGCATGCGACCTTCCAGCATGGATTTCTGAACTTCGACGAGTACATTCGACTTCAAAAGTATAGTCTCAATACGAATCCTATGCCATATATAGAAGATATTTCAATCTCGAAGTTCAAACGAGATACTTATTTGAATGGAGCTAGACGGAATATATAACACAAAAATGAACAGATAGAGGAAGTGACATTTTATTCTTGACCTATCAAGAAGTGTAACAGCCAGCAAAATAAATCACCTGCAATCCTTAAGGTGGTAAAAAGCATCTGAACTTGTAGTGAGCAATATCAAGTAGGTGTCAACCTGCAAACAAAAACATCTTTTATGTGTCATTTGTTGATAATCAACCAGCAGGAACAGCTTCTTATCCAGAGTTACCAAACTATATTGAATTCAGCAATTTCTTATTTTAGAGTAACTATCAATAGAATAGTTCAGAATACACTGGAAATTTGGGTAACGTACATCAAAATAGTGGACATATGCATATAGAAATGCCATGGGATTATATCTTGGTAGGCAAATTGGTGAGAAAGATTCAGATGTCCTATACAAAGACAATACTGATATGAGAATATAGTCAGGGCAAAAGCAGAAGCGCCATAGAATGACATATAAAAGATCAGTCAGTGATTGCACATACCTAAATGATTCAGATGATACAACAAAATTAGAGAGAAGAAGCATGTCATCAGGATGAAGGGATGCTTTTTGTGCACCAACGAGACAGATAACCTGCATTTATGTCAATTGAGTAGTCTCACCAATAAGTTACTAATATCACATTCCAACCTCTTTCTTAAAGCACAATTAGATAAAGAAGATAAAAAGAACCTTGTGTCTACACATTAAAATTGCAAACAGGACACCTGAATCAGCCACATCTTGTAATATTGCACCAGCAGCTTGTCTTGTTGCATAAGCAAGGGGAAGACAAGTGTATGCATGGAGAAAAGTAGCTGGGTTCCTACAAGTTATAGTAAAAACTTTCATCACAAACGAAGATGAAGCAAGTCAATTACAATGAATATTTACAAGCAGTATATTAGTCAAAAGGTTGGAAGATTAAGAAGACGGAATTGACATCTTGTCAGCTTTAAAAACTGACGGATAGTAAACAGCATTGAAAACTTTGTTAAGCACAATATGTTTTCTCCATTCATCTTTCAAATTATATTGCATAATCTGAGACCATTCAGCAAGTAAAGTAGCCAGAATTTCTGGAATATAAACATTCCAAAAATTTCAGAATATTTGTTCCTGGATCTCATTTTAACAGCACGACACCTTTTAAGTCTTAAAATAAAAGGAAAAGAAGTTTATTAGTTCCTTGCTTAACTGCATTTTTCTTCACACTCAAGAAAGTACTACAATCCAAGTCAATAAAAGACAACTCCTGAAAAGGGAAAATATAAATAAATTGCCACAAGTTGATCTTAAATTATTATGACAGGGAAGAGAGAATAAATAACAAACCAATTGAAAGAATGGATGAGAGAAGAGAAGACCACATCGTTCCTCCAAGCAAAGGCGTCATATCAAATTTTGGATTCTTCTCGAAACATCTATTTACAGACTTTGTAAGAATAAGTATCATCTGCAATCATATTGAATAATAAGTAGCTGCATTAATTGTTGGAAGACTTCTATTAAATGAATCAATCAGACATAAAGTAGAAAGGTAATTAAAACTTCCAGACAGCAAAGTTTATTTTCTCTAGGAATACATCTCAGAGTCAAATCCTGCAAATTAGGAAAAAAGCTACCTGACCATAGAGAAGCTCCAGTTGCCCCCTCAGTGACTCGTATGGCTCTTCTGTACAGCTTATACAAACGAGGTAAATTGGTCCTTTAACAAGAAAAACAACCTGAAACACGATGGACAAATTAATGAAAAGAAAGAAAGATATCACCCTATTTCTACATCCCATCCCATAATAAACAAAATACCAAAAATAAAAGTAAAAATAAAATACATAATCTACCACAATGGCCTTTACTTCTATGGACACTTATGAGAGTAAAGTGAGGCCAGGACATATGTATGATGCAGATGCCCTGGAAAACACTACACAACTTGGGTCGTCCAAACTAGAAAAATGAAAGCAAGGCATTTGCAAAAGAATTTTAATCTCTCAAATTTGAATTGGGCAAACAAACAGTTGGAGATACTACACAAAAACTTTCCCCTGAAATAGATCTTGAAGCCTCAATTATTCAAGATAAAGAGGGCCAAAGTTCCAGGCAAAGCATCCTTTTACAGCAGCAAATTATCGAAGAATGATTTTTTGCTGTCATATTCGATTACTATAGCAGGATACAGATGAAACCGTGCTAATAATAGCCTCACAGATAAATGCATTTTCCCTCATAGAGAGAAAGCAACATCTAATGCCTAAACCTATTCTACTTTCAATAATAAGAAACTTTAACAAGAGGATGCTGACAACTTGTTTTACATTTCTTACAAACCATAAGATATTTCCATCCTATTATGGCTCTAAAACTGCAAATTGCCCAAGGACAAAAATCAAGTGCCCTACCAAGCAATTTCCCTCGTTTAATTCATGCTAAACCTATTAAACTTCTCTAATTTGGATTTAAAAAGAAAAATACAAGACTATAGCAGTCAACTACATAACATGAATTGCAGCTCAGCAAATGCATTTTTGGTTACATAAAAAGGTACTACATGTTAGGAGTCATTTCCAAGGATAAGTAAACCACCAAAGTTTTTGTTCTTCCTTTCTTTCTTTCTTTCTTTTTTTGCTGGAGAACTATCATTCACATCTCAAACAGCTCTGTCTAATTCTTAACGTATTCAGATATAAAAAAGAACCTTCAAACAAGTTCATGGAAGCTTGAAAAATTATCCAAGGCTTGGAAAACACACGCACACACAAAGCAATGCTATTTTTTCACTTGTGAAGACAATTAAATTCAAAACAGAAACTTATAATCTCTAAAAAAATAAACTTCATGAAGGTCCAGAGAGGAGTTTTACTGACCTGGTGCTTTCCTGCTCTTACCAATTTCACACGATCTCCCCTGAAAAGAAGTCAATGATGCATAACTATTGCGATTTAAGCTAATCTTTGTTGCTAAAAGAGGTGGAACAATCAATAAGTAGAAAAGATCAACCACAATAGAATTTGAAGTAGATGTAGCTATCAATGTACCCATTCTCCACAAAGGAAATAATGGCCTGTAGAGTCGCAGAGAATCCAGCTAGCTTGTGTTCATCTCCATATCTTTAAACATAATTAAAAAAAAGAACTAATTAAGAATGTCTAGATCCAGGACCACACTGTGCTGCAAAATAAAACTCTTAACTCTATGTCCCAACGAGACTAAATTGTGCAGCATATACACACCTCGAATAAATGGGTTTTCCAGAGTGACTCAAAATAAAGAAATGTTTCTTCCTTTTTCTCCATGAAATAGAATCATCATCCTGCACTTCATCGATTTATCAAACAGAAAGATAAAGCTGCTAATCAAATAAGATACGAATCAACATAAGAAATTACTACAGCAATTCATATAAAGTAAGGGAAAAGTACGTGCCAAAATTGTCAACATCTTCAGAAAATGGAACTCTTCATGTGTTCCAATGGTACAGCATTAAAGCTATATTCCACAATTCCGCTAAAGGTTTTAATTATGAATAAGTTTACATATATATGCATACATCCCATTTAAGTCAAAACCTTTCCAATTATCAGGAGGGGAAAGAAGAGAGAACCACTATCAACTGATTAGCGAATTAATCTTGGGCAAACACCAACACTTATGACATGATTTCAAGCACAACAAATAGCTTGACACTTTATATTAATTCAGAAGGTTAGTTGAATAAGCATTTACATTACACAAATAATGTCAAATATTATGTACCAAAATCAATTAACCTCCTAATTACTTGAAAGGGTCATTTCCAATAATCTATAAAATCATGCATTGGTCCCAACTTATCTTAACCATACATTAGTTTAAATATAGCTATAAACAAAACAGGATACCCTTCAGAAATTTGAGCCAAAAATTCTAAAATTTCCCGTATACTGACCTCATCGCCATGGCGTTTCCCGGGAGTCCAGGGAGCCGGAGAATGTGCAACTCCGTCAAAATCACCGTTACTCCGAACCTCGACAATCTCGTCGTCATTAAAATCATCATTTCCATACTCCTCAACTCCACTGGTAGCACTACTCCCTCTCTCACCAGCATACCACTGCTACTCGGACTTGACGGCGCCGCCCCTTCCTCCATTTCCGAAACATTCGCCCATACTCTCGACGAGCTCGCCTTCAACTTCTCCTCTGAGTTCCCGGGCAGCTCTTCGATATCATTTATCGATCCATTCACCAATTCCTCTCGAATTTCATCATCGTTGACACCGAACTCCGACTCGGCTCCAGCAAGGAACCGGGTTGAAACGTTGAAATTGAGGCTAACTGATTCTCGATAGCGTCGAGGGACTGGTCAATTGAGGAGGCTTGGGGTTAGGGGCAGAATTAGGGTTTTTCTCGTCGGAGGAGGAAGAATAGGAAGACGAGTTGGAAGGCGAGGGCATTATCGGAGTGTCGAAGATATTGGATTATAATTCAGAGGAAAATCCTGGGAAGAGAGAGGGAGGAATTACCGATCAAGGCGAGTTGAGCTAGCTACCAGTTGTGGCAATGGAAATGGAGCATCCGGTGAAAGTTGATGATTGAGCTACCAGTCGTGGTAGTTGTTTGACCAATTGTTTGTTTCGGTTCGGTTCGGTGGCGCCCCCGTCGGGCTTACGGGGAGCCAAGAACCAAGATTAGATAGCAAGACGACTGACGACGCGACTGCCTGTTTGGTTCTAGCTGTCGTCTTGGCTGTTTAGATGATGGATCGTGGATTAGGTTTGGGTCTGGACCAGCACATGGGTCGTGACTTTGATGGCATGTCACCAATTCTTACGCGAGGTAAAAGTGTATATACAATTTCAACGTGAAAAGAGGGCAGGTGAGAGGAAAATTCAGGGCTTAATGGAGGGCCGGAGGAAGGAAAAAAGAACATTTTAATTCTTACTTGTTAGTTGATTATAATCACTTTATTTTAAAGTTGAAACATAGTTGTGATACAAAAAAAAAAATACAAACATCAATTAAAAGAAGGAAGAAGCATTGCACGAACATACAAGATGTACGTGGGGTGTGATGGATGAGTATCAAAGATAAAAGAATATTTGATTAATCGAACGTGTTTGATGCATTAATCCTTTGCAATTAAGTTATGGTTGATTGAGATTTTTCTACGTAAGCACGAAGTTTCAGCTTCAATTGAAGGAGAGTTAGGATGGAGGATAAATTAAGGGGAATTATAAATAATAAATTATTTAAAAAAAAAACTTCGACTTCAAGTGTTATCCAATTTGAATAGGTTATATTTGTTTAAATTAAATTCTTTTACCTCCTTCTTAGTTCGTCCTTCTTCTTAGTTTGTTTAGCTTTAAAATGGGAAAAAAAAAAAAACAACTCGGATTGCCTTGGGAAAGGCTCTTAGAATTTCTACACTGTTCAGGTTAAGAATTTGAATTCTATACTTAAACAGTTGGTGTGAGAAAAGACATGCGAAGAGGTTGGAATGGTTTTAAAAAATGATGGAAGACAAAAGAATGTTGAAGTTCGAGTTTTAGTGAAACAAGTTTACTTTAAAAGAAAAAACTAAAAGAGAGAAAAAGTAAAGTGATAAACATCAATTGAATTAGTTGACAACATTGGACGTCTCTTAAAAATGAACAATGTACAAGAATAACATTTCTTCAAGCCAAAAAAAAAAAAGGCAAGCATAACCTAGCAATTCCTTTCCTGGTCCAATCCATATGCACCATCAACCCAAGAAGTACGCCCATGGTGCTTTTGTACACAAACCAATGTTATACGAAGAGGGCGTTCAGCCACTGTTCTCGCTCACCAAGGAGGGAAAGAATTCTCAGGTGAAGCCCACCCAAATGGCCTCTCAAGCAGAAGAATAAGCCCATTGTCAATCAAACGTGCTCTTCATCGTAAACAGCCCAACTTCTGTATTTCAGTTTTTTTTTTTTTTTTCAAGAAGCACTGACAAATGACAATTTCACAGCAATCTGGTAGTAGTTTGCTTGTTCATTGCGTATGCATTGTTGGAGTAGATTGCGGTCCTCACATGCATGGGTGTCTCCATTAATCATCATCCAAAGATCGAGGGACCAATTATCAATTTGTCTGAAACAAGAAATTAACCTAGTTGAAGTACAATACAACTCATTTTTTCTCTAAAAAAAAACAAAAAGTACACTTCATGGATCTCAGGAAATTACTCGAACCTGATCTTGCTGTCCTAGATTTATCGGAAAGTTCATTTTAGTACTACTAAGAAACTCACAACAATGCACTTAATCGCTTTGGAAACACTCCCAAAGCCCCTTGAAAGTTGAAAGCCACCCCCTCATTGTGATTGTGAATCTATTTACTTGTGCAAACTGGACAGCACACACCCCATATGCTCTTTCCTTGATTTCCTTCTTTTTTTCTCGTATGCTTCAACTCGATACAAATATCAAAAAGATTTCGTTTAGATTAAAAATCAATCTCAGTACTGGAATTCCATTCCTCTGTCAGTTTTTACTTTCACAGAGAGTGTTGTGATATTTGCGCCATGAAGATAAGCAAATATCTTTCTTTGGACACTGTACAGCCGCCTCAGCCTACAAACAAAATCTGGGTTATTTTTTCCAGATGAATGGCGTACATATGTAGCATATACTAGTAGACAACTTTTGATACTTTTTTGAGGGAAAGTCCCTTTTTTGTCAAGTACTTAAGGATTTTGTCTCATAATAATAATATATAAAAAGCTGTGTTGATGTCTTGCACGTTATGTGATCCTCCCATGCAGTTTAGAAGCCAAACAAAGTAAGTTCCCTTTTCCGGAGAAGGATAGAATTGGACTTTATAGTAATCTTTAAAGTCAAATTTAGCCTAACTTGCTAGATCTTTAAGCACACTAATGAGATCATTTCCTTGCCTACATTCTCAAATCCAAGTTTCTTGAAAATGTTGTCAGCGGATGCGTAGACACCCGTCTGGACCGGTGGTGATTCAGTCCACCCTAGATTGTTCTTGGGTCTCTTCAGATCTCCCTCTCCTTAATATAGAATAGTGTAGGTCTATCGTGTCAGACAAAAAAATAATATTAATAATTAGCTTATTTAATTTGCATTTAAGGACTAATTAGTAAGCTGCATCCAATTCTCAACAGTAATAAATATGTATTAATCCATCATTTGTTTTTTCTTTAAATGAGAGAGTTTGAACTCAGAACCTACTACCACTCGCAATCTCTCTCACCTTATCATTCAATCCAATCCAATCCGATCCAATTATCCAACCCTTCCCTGTATCAATCCATCTTGAATATATATGCTATATAGTAATCTTGCGGGTCAAAAGAGAACAATAGCGTGGCAATGAACTGCTACTACTTTAATATGGTCCAGCTTCACCCACAAACTTTAATTACTTGCACTCGATTGTTGTTGCTCTCTTGTCATTACCTGGATCTCGAGTTTCCTGTTTTTAATATACTTATCTCCTAGACTTTGGCCCCAATTTGGCAGTCTAGCCAGTCATTAACTCCAAATTAAGATGGGTTCTAGGATAATCTTTCTAGCTAACGCAATCACAATTCTCGTAGGCCATACAAACCACATCCCTTTCCTATCCAGACGCAATGCCTGCCGGCCTACCCTCGAGGGACAGGACAACTATCCCCAGATTCCCTCACGGATTAACTCATTATTCACGGGATGCATCTGGAATTAAACCCCTACTCCACCGATACTACAGATTAAGGTGCGAGAATAGGAATTGATGATTGACCCAAAAAAAAAAAAAACAGATTTAGTAGTATTTTGAAGAGTGTTTTTGGCAGTTAGAGTTAAACTAAAGACTGGAAACTTTGAGTGAAAATGTACAGCTGCTATCTTGCCTTCGGACTGGCTAACTGTTTCGCTTTTGCTATCTGCAACTGGAAGTGGCAAAAAAAGTTAGGGAATTATTGATGAAGCATGCATGTTATCCATTTGTCATCCCAAAAGTTTTTCACTGACACTGAGATTGAGCCCTGTCACAAGTTGCAATTGCTTTCTTTGTAGTTGCAAGTTGTCAGTTGCAATGATAGGCGAATGAGGTCGACAGGCACTTCCCTTCCTCATCCAACACATCTTTCGCCTGAAATGAAGTTCAGATAGAACAGTCGCAAGAAATCTCTCAGATTGTTGATCCTGTAAACAAGCAATAATAATACTTCTACTGTATCTACTCCTAAAAAGTCGTACGTATGCATGTATAGCCGAAAGTTAATGGGCACCCTCCATTAAAAAAAAAAAGCTACTAATTTTAGGTCATGGATCATCAAATCATGGATGGACTTGGAAGAATCTTTAGGCGCCTCTTTTGGCTTAGACTTGAGTCACCATTGGAGGGTAACGAAGAAATCTGATGAGAATCTAAACTTGGTTCACCATAAATCATGGATGTAGCACTTTCCAATCAAGAACCTTGCATAACTTTTTTTTTTTTTTTTTGTCGCAACAATAGAATTCCTATAAGCTAATTTAACATAATTTAGAGAGAGGGGAGGAGGATTCAATGTGATGTGAATAGAAATTCCATCGAAAATGATCAATTAAGACTGCCATATACAGTGACAACTTGACACCTTGCACAACTTGGAAAGCTAGGTTTTTGATGCATCTCAATCAAGTCAAAATTGAGGTGACTTTGATTTTGTCAATTTAATGGATGCAGAAATTTCATATATTGCAACTCCAATTATTTTTTGGGAAGCTAATATGAGTGTGACACCTCTTGCTCAAAAGAGAAAAATATCACTAGCGTCACCTCAATTTTGGCTAGCTCCGTTGGCTATTTTAAATTTCTAGAAATTCTTAGGAAAAAAGAAAAAGAAATAAAGGAGAAGGTTGAGCGTTAAAATTAATTTGTACATCTGTGTAATCAATCACGGGAACCAACTTCAAAGAATAATACACCCAAAAAAAAAGAAAAAGAAAAAAGAAAACTTCAAGGTTATACAAAATGCAACATCAATGTCGACACTTGTATTCCATTTCCATGTCGCCATAAAGTAAGAGAGGGACTGAACGACGAAAACGACGGGCGAAATTGAATAAAACGCCAACGCATGCCACTGTAACTTGCAAGTTCCAACTTCTAAAATGACGACAACTACGGTCAACTGGCCGTCTCATTCATTGACCCCGCACCCATTTAAATCCAACGGTGCACAACCTCTCAACTTCCCACACAGATTTCTAATCCTACGGCTGCTTTGCCGATCTCCATGAACACCGCGCCGCACCACTCAAGCATTTATTAACGTTATTTAACATTTCTGCTGTGTTGTGAGTAGTAGTTACCAAAACCAAAAAGTAGCAGTAGTTGTTAGCATCATAATTTATATTCCCTGTTTGTTGAATTCTTCTGCTGGGTTGAGGACATTATGACACCATTTTCCACCACATTTTTTCGCCTTGAATTTACAGTCGGAGGAGATTGATGTCTAAAAAAAAATATCCAGTCATTTTCCTTCAAAAGTAATTTTGATAGGACCCTATTTTGTCTGTTAAAGCTAATGGTGGAGAAGAAATTTGGGTCTGAGATAGGCGTGCTTTTGTGGTAGAGTGGCTTTGTTCCTCCCCCCTTCCGAGTATGTATGGTGATTGATGGTTGCCCCTCTACATAAGGGCCCGAATGCATCAAGTTCTCAGTGTGACAAAATGGTTGG